TATGTGTACCATATGCACACATACAGTACACTGACTCTCTTTGGCACCATCCCACATGTTCTATGTGTACCATATGCACACATACAGTACACTGACTCTCTTTGGCACCATCCCACATGTTCTATGTGTACACATACAATATACACATACACTATTTCTTGAGTCAAAGTATTTTTGGAATTTTTGACTTACAATTTTGTAGCAAATGAAACAGGGAATTTGAGCTTTTCATACTTCATTGTAGATTTACTGTAAAAGAATTACATAATAGCAAAATGCTTCCTACTTCAATGTACATCAGATGGGAAGAAAGGAAAAATGTATGCTGTGATATTGTCAATGCCATTTTTTTCATTTTAAATAACCTTTCGTTACTTAATACCATCTCTGGTTAAAATTTAAAAATAGATTCATCTTCTAATCCACAACCTGACCTACACAGTGGTACATTATGAATGCTCACATGCAGCATTTGTAATATTCAATGAAACATATCAAACATATGTTTAGAACTGTAGTTTAGTAGATCCATAACATAAAAAGAACTAATATATATATTTTTATATGTTTTTGATCAGGAAAGTCTCATCAGATGCAAATATAGATGTCCCTTTGATGGAAGACAGCTGATGGTGACACTTCATGGCAATAACAGAAATAAAAAATCAAAATATATTTTTAAAATTTATATATACCACTCATTCCTATTGTACAGCAAAATACTTTTTTGTGAATATATAAAATCACAGTATAATAACTATTTTTAAAAAATATGTTGAAAAAATATATTTTATAATAATAAACTTTAATACATCAAAATATTTCTATTAGAATACCATAAACGGTACAAGTTGTTAAACTATTTACCAATTAATGCCCTTTGATGTAAAACATATTTTTAATGTTTTACAGTTTTATCATTGGTTATAATCATTTGTTTTTATATATTTTTACAATAATTTAATTGCATTGTTAAACTCAATTTTTAATAAACTGAATCAAAATAAAATGTAAGAATCATTTGTAAAGCCTAAGTAACCACACTTATATTCCTTCAAGAGAAAATTATGCAAAAATTATATTTAATCATTGAAGGTGTCATTTTGTACATGTTTTGTAAACACTTATTTTCATAGTTTTTTTTGGTAAGAAAAAAATTATAAAAAAGAAATGAAAATATTTTTTTGCTTGTTGTTTATAATTTCTTTAAATAATACAAAAGAACACTTTAAATAAGGCCTATATAATTTTTTAAAAACATTTCAAACAATGGTCATATCCATAGGATTATGATTAATTATGGTTGCATAATTTGCACAACCTTATTTACAAAAAAAAAGTTTTCAGCAAGTTTTGAATCCTCAATAAATAAATCCAACAATGTTAACACCATTCCCTATTAATTAACATTAAGAACTAAAGGTCACAAATTAGATCTAGTAAGTATTTTTATTAAGACAACATTTAGCTCCCAGCTAAACAATATGAACCTATTAATATTATGGACAAAATGATTGATTTCCTTTCTTATTCTCATATGAATAACTCTGCTTGATTCCTGCATGTTTCATTGCATGCACTGAAACCAAGGGGGTGAAACTATGCACCATGTCTCTAGTGTCAGAACACAGTGTCAAATGAAAGCAATTTTAGTTGTCAATATTTGTTTCATTTGAAACAGAATAAACAGTCGCAATTTAATGTAAGGCTGTAGTGAGTTTTATTATTTTTAATAGATAAATTTGTCTTATTCTTGTCTGATTAGTGTTGTCTTTCTTTAAACGCTTACAATTTGCTTCATGTTAAGGCCAAACGCACAATCAGATTGACTGGGAAGTTTTGGTTCATACAAAACATTCTAAGAAATAAGTGTTTCTTCTTCAATCTTAATTTTAGTGTTGGAAGGGATCCTGTCCAACAAAGTTAATTATACGTGTCAACTAGTTATGCGCCATTGAGGCCATTGACTCCGATTTCAGCCTGCTTTTCTTTTTGGATTTGCTACCATAGCCATTGTCCAACCAAGAACAAACTACAAGGCAGCAGTTGTTTGATGTTGGAGTTGTCTCCAGCTAACCAGCCTAATCTGCCTGAGGGTTCAAACTCGAGACTTTTCAGTTTAGTAAACATGAGCTTTACAGACTTGAAAAACGCTGACCCCTCTCCTGTTTCTAATATTGAGTAGGCCAACCAAATCACCTATGCAATCATGTATGCTAAAACTTTAATTGTCTCTATCTACTTGTTTGAAATATAAAGTTTATTGCAAATGAAAATAAACACATTCAAGTGTTATTTCATGTATAGGATTTAATTATAGGTAAGACCAGGATAAACATCATGGCACTTTACATTTGTGACTACGTTTATCTTCAGATGGCCTGGGAGTTGCCTAGCAGGGATATATATGTATATATATATATATATATATATATATATATATATATATTTATTATTTATTTATTATATATAAATGTATGTATATATATATACATATATATATGTATGTATATATATATATATATATTTATATATATATATATTTATATATATATATATATATATATAATATATGGTATCAAATGCGTAATTTGTTGATAAATTCAGTTTGCTTTGTTTTTTTATTGTTATAATAATTGATAAATCTGCTTGAATTTCGTGTGATTTACAATAGCCATCCAGTGTGGACATTGGCGTCCTCTAAGTTTAAAGCATTGCTCAAATCCACCCAGGTTGGTCCTATAGGATATTTGTCTGATGGTCATTATTTGAATTTTCCCAACTTTAAGTGGCACGAACCCAAACATAAATACATCATCAATCCAAAAGAATTGTGTAGTAAGAGCCGCCTGTGTTACATTTGAAATCAAATCTGATGATATTGCTACAAAGTAGCCCAGACATCTGTCAAACGCATATCTGGTTTCAGCGAATGCTGAGATAGAAACAGCCCATTTTCCTTTCCTTTTAACCGTGTCATTTTTGACAATGTCGCACATGATTGTGCTGATTCTTTCTGAGCTGTTCCAAAGATGAAAAAAATTTTGGACAAGAAAAAACACGTCGTCATCGATGCGAAGCAGCAGCTTGAGATCTTTACAGAAACTGTTGACCCAGTGGAATCCAAAAATAGCTTTGTAGGTGAGGTTGAAATAAGAATCAATAAAAGAACCTTGGACGGTGTCACCAAACTGCCAATTCTCTGCTTGAAGCCTTGATTGTAAGGCAGAGTCAAGGACTTGTCCTAAGAAAAAGATGACCTGTAGATAAGACATTTATCAGTATATCAATTGAAGTACTTTAAGCATTGCGGTTTGACTTGGTTTCAAAGTCAACACTAAGTAGACGTCTAGATAGCAACATATTTCATGTATTGAAAGGTGAGAAATTGCTCCAACTATAAGTATGGTAAAAAGACATCTACAATCCAAAGAACTGCGTTTTAGGGCGTAGGGAAAAGTTGTCCTGTTTTTGCATTTTATGCATAAATTACGTCACATATTGGGCTGCGAGTTCACATTTGCGTGACAGGATGGCTAAATGAAAGCATAACCTCATGGTAAATCTTTTTTAAATATACGAACTTGGGGAACAGAACAACACAAAACTACAATACATAAACCCAAAATAAATCACAAATCCAAAAGAAAACAAATAAATAAACACAACACAAACAACAGAAAACACAATCACAATGTAAACAAACACAATACAAATACAAACGAAAACACAAACGCAACACATTAACACAAAAGAAAAAACAAACGCAAATAAAAACACAAATGATAATATAAACACAACACTCATAACATAAACACAAATGCAAAAATAGACGCATAGTGCTCAGTCTAGCCCATAGCGCCGAATCGCACTCTGCCCGAAAACCGGCGGACGCGCCTGATTCAGTGAACGACTATAAAACCCCCAGCTTGTCCGCAAACCGAAAGATAGAATAATAATCAGTAAACAGTACGTTCAGTGTATACAACACGGGTTCCCAACCTGGGGGTCGCGACCCCCTTGGGGGTCGCGAAGGGCTTTCTGGGGGGTCGCCAACTGGTATACTAAACCTTAGTAATGAGAAACAAAACATAAATATTTAGAAGAATTTTTGAAATTCGGCTTTACTAACATCACTGGAAAGGGAATAGAGAAGAACCAAAGCGTACTGTACAAAGTTGTTCTCAGTCACGAGTTTATGAAATCTTCAAAACTAAAACGTCATTTGAGACGAGTCATTCGAAACACACCAAAAAAGATATGGAGTTCTTTCGTCGGTATGAAGCTAGTTGCAAACGCCAGAGACTTGATCGAACAGGAAGTTTTCACCAAGGAAACACAGCATTAGTGCAAGCATCACATATAGTCGCGACAGAAAATGCCAAGCAAAAACAAACAAAATAGGAGAACATCTCATCAAACGCTGCATGTTTAAGATAGTGAAGTTAATTCTTACATGTCCGTAGATGTTAAATAACACATTTTTATTGAAATTAAGCTTTCACCATTGTTTGCTTTTCAAGTTGATAAATCAACAGAAGCGAGTTCGTGTTCGCAGTTGCTGGTCTTTGTCTATTTTCATTCAGATGATAGCAAAGAAGAGTTGCTCTTTTGTGAAGATAGCATGGAGAAAATAGTTTTTTTTAAAAAATTGGATGATTAAAATGGGTTAGAACGGCTGTGAGGGTTTGTACGTATGGTGCACCATCTATGTTTAGGTCAAAATCGGGCTTTCAGAAAGCAGAAAAGATTTAGCTCCCTAACCACTGCCCTCACCAATCGCCATCAAGACTCCATTGCTGGTATAAGTCGTAAATTATAGAAAATCTTGAGCCTTCAAAGAACTGAGCAAAGACCTGAATAAAGATCACGAGGTTCTGCTCTTCTACATTACAGTGCGCTGGCTGTCAAATGAATTGTTGTGATTCGTGTTTTTTAATTGAAATCTGAAATAAAATTGTTCTTGGAAATGCAAAGGAAACAAGACCTTTTGGTATATTTAAAACGACATAGAGTGGTTGGAGAGAGTATCATACCTAGCAGATCTGTTCGAACATCTACATAAGCATAACCTGAAGCTTCAGGGAAAATGAACGAATATTATCACTTTCCATGATTATCTCGGGGCATTTTTATCAAAGCTGCAAAATCGGCGAAGAAAATAAATCTTGGACATATTGTAAATTTGAGAAACTCTGCAGTGTGATAGATGAATCTAATTGTGAGATAATTAAAATTTTGAAAGAAGAAATTTCTGGGCATCTTGAATCAAGTGAAAACAAACTGCAGCGCTGTTTCTCTGAGCTGAAAAAAAAGAATCTGCATTGACGCATTATCCATTCTCTTCTTCACTCGAAGTTGCCAGCATTCACGATGAATTACAATGTGAATTCTTTGATTTGTAGAATGATTCCGCGTAAGATAAAAAACTGCACACTCAATTTTGGTGTAGTATTCACCATTCATACCAAAGGTAAAAATTGATTGACTTTTCGAGAATAGATTTTCAACACTATTTTTCGATTAAAAACACAATTAAGATAATGATAATGACATAGGTTGGCGCTAACAAAAAAAAAATACTTTAAAAAAAAGTAACTGCGAATGTTTAGTGAATAGTATGCAATTTAACTCATGGTATTAAAACAGTTATCAAGCGTAGTTCATATTGAAAGTCTACTAGAAAATGTTATTTTAGTGCTTATTAATTTCCATACTTATTTCGGCTTTTTAATTCTATGGGGGTCGCGGGTCACTTAATTTTTATAAAAGGGGGTCGCCACTCAAAAAAGGTTGGGAACCACTGGTATACAATAAATAAACGGCAGTATTTAAAATATCCGTGTTTTACCTACCATATTACACTTTATCAATTCATGCATTTTTCTTCAGTACTTTAAATTTTAAAAATTGACAATAGTTTCATGACTAAAACTATTGCGGAATAGTTGATTAAACATTATAATTAGTAAACAGTACGTTCAGTGAATAAAATAAATAAAAGATTGCCTTTCATCAATCCATGCTAATTATAATTTTCTAACAATAATTTCCTCTTACACATCCGCATATTTCGCATTCACATTTTGCTAATTATATTATTGCAACAATAATTCCTTCTGGGAGATCTGCATATTTTGCATTCACGTTTTTTTTTAATAGCATGAGTTGAATTTATTTTTAAATTACCTCCCATAGCGCTCACGGGAAAGCCCGGGGCGCCAAATCGCACCCTCACGGGGGCCACCCATGAGAACTTTTTTTTCCCCGCAGACACCTTCTTGTGAGTATTCTCATCTACTCCCCGCAGTTTCACTCGTATGAACGGTGTCGAACCGCATCCGACTTTTATTTTTTCATATACCGTATATAAAGAAAAATCGCACCCGCCCGGGGCTCCGCCCTTGCGAAATTAAATAAAAATTAAAAACTATTTTTTGCAGGAACTTCCCCTGGAGTGCTCTAATCAACTCCCAAAAGTTTCATGGTGATTGGATGAACGGTGTCAAACCGCAACAGACTTTTATTTTTATATACTATGTATAGAAAAGTCGAATCGCGCCTTTCCGGGGCACCACCCCTTCGAATTTGAAATATTTTTTGCATATACCTCCACAGCAGCATTCTCAACAACTTTTCAAAGTTTCATGGCGATTGGGTGAAAGTAGTAATGCATAAAAGAAAACAGACAGACAGACCAGAGGCGTCGCGAGGTAAGGGCGCAAAAAAAAAAAAAAAAAAAAAAAAAAAAAAAAAAAAAAACAACGGTTCATCGGTGATTTTATTATAATAAAGCGGGAGTGATCTCATCTAAACTTTCTCGAATATTCTAATATAACACTACGGGGAATGGCAACTCGGGAGATATAGACATTATTTTAATCCATTTATAATTACTTAAGCTTTAAAAAAGTAGAATAGAATCTCGTAGAAAAAAGAATTGCGCACCACGTGAGCGCCAATCAATATGCGTATAATAGTGCGGAATACTATAAGTACTTTATAAATTCACATGCGTTTTTTTAGAAATCGGAAATAGCGTAAATGACTAGTACCAGATAATGGAAATTACTCAAAATTCGACAGAAAGCAAAGAATTCGATCTTTTACTTACATGTGAAATGTCATTTATCTATCTGAAACAGTAGTAAAGTTATAGGCTTTTGAAAAAAATTGAAAGTAGAATAAGTTCCACTTCCGGTAACCGGAAATCGCTGAAAAGTTGATACAGATCTACAAATTTGATATAATACTTGTATAATACTTATATATGAAATTTCATCAACCTAGATGTAACGGTACTCAAGTTATAGTAATCATAGACACATATACACACATACATACACACAGACATACGGATAAAATTGCAAAACTATGTTCTTTCCGACTCAGGGAGGTGTAAAAGGTCGAGATTTGTTTTTGCACGGTTACAATACTTCCTTTATAGGCTACTTCGTAAATGAGAAAGTAAAAATAATGGATGACCACCAAATTCTAGAAATTAGCTTAAGTAACTGCTTCGTTTTGTACAGTATTCTTTTGTTTTTATCACTTAAAATCGCAGCAAACCTTTATCTTATATGGAAATGTTTTCTTCTGATCTGTATACAGCCAGCGAAAAGCTTTTCTTTTCTCAAAGTTTAAAGGAGCCGAATGTACAGCCATTACAGCATCAAACATACGTGCATCACCACATCCGTGGCTTGCAGTCATCTGCACCTGGAATTTATTCAATATTTTGTTAAAACAAAATATGATTGGAGAAGAGACAAAAAAAAAAAAAAAACAACTAAAATGAACACTTAAAGAACTAGCCAGGTTTTTTAATGTCCATATAGTGTAGCAATCCTGTTACTCAGCAGAGGTGAACGAAAATTATACAAAAATGTGAAAGACAACTTTTCAAACAGATGAACCAGCACTTATTTTTAAAAAGTTGAAACTCCACTGTTAAAAACGTGAACTACCTCTGTGTAAGATAAACCACAGTCGCCAAATGATCAAGACTTAATCTAGTATCAGTTTTTTTTTTAAATTTAGCTTGTGAATTGTGTATATAATAGTAGCACGTGTTTTGTTAGCAGATATGCCTACTGTTGGTTAGTTTTTATATAAATACTTGGGTGGGGGTTGGTTGTTTACGTGTAGTTTTAATGCTAGTTAAAAGGTTTAGAACACCTGAAATAGTAAGTTCTATTAAGTTTTTTGTGACTTCCCCCCCCTCCCCCCGAAGTTCAAATTTGTCAAGGAAGTGCGAATGAACATGAGATGAGAAGTTTGAGAGCTGACAGATGCTGACCACATTGATGTCAGCAGGTTAGGAGAATGTAGTACTGATAGCTGTTTAACCAGTGATGTACTTGTGCCGGCGTTTGCCTGACTGTTGCCGTTTTCCTGTTTTTTTTTTTTGTCTAATTCTATACCTGACGCCGTTTGCCTGATACTGTGCCTGATGAAATTTGCCTGATACTGTGCCTGATGCCATTTGTCTAATACTGTGCTTGATGACATTTGCCTGATAATGTGCCTGATGACATTTGATACTGTGCCTGATGCCATTTGTCTGATACTGTGCCTGATGACATTTGCCTAATAATGTGTCTGATGACATTTGTCTGATACTGTGCCTGATGCCATTTGTCTGATACTGTGCCTGATGACATTTGCCTGATACTGTGCCTGATAACATTTGCCTGATACTGTGCCTGATTACATTTGTCTGATACTGTGCCTGATTACATTTGTCTGATACTGTGCCTGATGACATTTGCCTGATAATGTGCCTGATGCCATTTGTCTGATACTGTGCCTGATGACATTTGCCTGATACTGTGCCTGATGACATTTGTCTGATACTGTGCCTGATGACATTTGTCTGATACTGTGCCTGATGACATTTGTCTGATACTGTGCCTGCTGCCATTTGTCTGATACTGTGCCTGATGACATTTGTCTGATACTGTGCCTGATGACATTTGCCTGATACTGTGCCTGATGCCATTTGTCTGATACTGTGCCTGACGACATTTGTCTGATACTGTGCCTGATGACATTTGCCTGATAATGTGCCTGATGCCATTTGTCTGATACTGTGCTTGATGACATTTGTCTGATACTGTGCCTGATGACATTTGTCTGATACTGTGCCTGATGACATTTGTCTGATACTGTGCCTGATGACATTTGTCTGATACTGTTCCTGACGACATTTGTCTGATACTGTGCCTGATGACATTTGCCTGATAATGTGCCTGATGCCATTTGTCTGATACTGTGCCTGATGACATTTGTCTGATACTGTGCCTGATGACCTTTGTCTGATACTGTGCCTGATGACATTTGTCTGATACTGTGCCTGATGACATTTGCCTGATACTGTGCCTGATGACATTTGTCTGATAATGTGCCTGATGCCATTTGCCTGATAATGTGCCTGATGCCATTTGCCTGATACTGTGCCTGATGACATTTGTCTGATACTGTGCCTGATGACATTTGTCTGATACTGTGCCTGATGACATGTGTCTGATACTGTGCCTGATGACATTTGTCTGATACTGTGCCTGATGACATTTGATACTGTGCCTGATGACATTTGATACTGTGCCTGATGACATTTGTCTGATACTGTGCCTGATGACATTTGTCTGATACTGTGCCTGATGACATTTGTCTGATACTGTGCCTGATGACATTTGATACTGTGCCTGATGACATTTGATACTGTGCCTGATGACATTTGTCTGATACTGTGCCTGATGACATTTGTCTGATACTGTGCCTGATGACATTTGCCTGATACTGTGCCTGATGCCATTTGTCTGATACTGTGCCTGACGACATTTGTCTGATACTGTGCCTGATGACATTTGCCTGATAATGTGCCTGATGCCATTTGTCTGATACTGTGCTTGATGACATTTGTCTGATACTGTGCCTGATGACATTTGTCTGATACTGTGCCTGATGACATTTGTCTGATACTGTGCCTGATGACATTTGTCTGATACTGTTCCTGACGACATTTGTCTGATACTGTGCCTGATGACATTTGCCTGATAATGTGCCTGATGCCATTTGTCTGATACTGTGCCTGATGACATTTGTCTGATACTGTGCCTGATGACATTTGTCTGATAATGTGCCTGATGCCATTTGCCTGATAATGTGCCTGATGCCATTTGCCTGATACTGTGCCTGATGACATTTGTCTGATACTGTGCCTGATGACATTTGTCTGATACTGTGCCTGATGACATTTGTCTGATACTGTGCCTGATGACATTTGTCTGATACTGTGCCTGATGACATTTGCCTGATACTGTGCCTGATGACATTTGTCTGATAATGTGCCTGATGCCATTCGCCTGATAATGTGCCTGATGCCATTTGCCTGATACTGTGCCTGATGACATTTGTCTGATACTGTGCCTGATGACATTTGTCTGATACTGTGCCTGATGACATTTGTCTGATACTGTGCCTGATGACATTTGTCTGATACTGTGCCTGATGACATTTGATACTGTGCCTGATATGCCATTTGTCTGATACTGTGCCTGATGACATTTGTCTGATACTGTGCCTGATGACATTTGCCTGATACTGTGCCTGATGACATTTGCCTGATACTGTGCCTGATGACATTTGATACTGTGCCTGATATGCCATTTGTCTGATACTGTGCCTGATTACATTTGTCTGATACTGTGCCTGATGACATTTGTCTGATACTGTGCCTGATGACATTTGCCTGATACTGTGCCTGATGACATTTGTCTGATACTGTGCCTGATGATCTTTGCCTGATACTTTGCCTGATGACATTTGTCTGATACTGTGCCTAATATGCCATTTGTCTGATACTGTGCCTGATGACATTTGTCTGATACTGTGCCTGATGACATTTGATACTGTGCCTGATGACATTTGATACTGTGCCTGATGACATTTGTCTGATACTGTGCCTGATTACATTTGTCTGATACTGTGCCTGATGCCATTTGTCTGATACTGTGCCTGATGACATTTGATACTGTGCCTGATGACATTTGATACTGTGCCTGATGACATTTGTCTGATACTGTGCCTGATGACATTTGTCTGATACTGTGCCTGATTACATTTGTCTGATACTGTGCCTGATGACATTTGTCTGATACTGTGCCTGATGACATTTGATACTGTGCCTGATGACATTTGATACTGTGCCTGATGACATTTGTCTGATAATGTGCCTGATTACATTTGTCTGATACTGTGCCTGATTACATTTGTCTGATACTGTGCCTGATGACATTTGTCTGATACTGTGCCTGATGACATTTGATACTGTGCCTGATGACATTTGATACTGTGCCTGATGACATTTGTCTGATACTGTGCCTGATGACATTTGTCTGATACTGTGCCTGATTACATTTGTCTGATAATGTGCCTGATGACATTTGTCTGATACTGTGCCTGATGACCTTTGTCTGATACTGTGCCTGATGACATTTGCCTGATACTGTGCCTGATGACATTTGTCTGATACTGTGCCTGATGACTCTTGTCTGATACTGTGCCTGATGACATTTGTCTGATACTGTGCCTGATATGCCATTTGTCTGATACTGTGCCTGATGACATTTGTCTGATACTGTGCCTGATGACATTTGTCTGATACTGTGCCTGATGACATTTGCCTAATAATGTGCCTGATGACATTTGTCTGATACTGTGCCTGATATGCCATTTGTCTGATACTGTGCCTGATGACATTTGTCTGATACTGTGCCTGATGACATTTGTTTCTGTGCCTGATGACATTTGTCTGATACTGTGCCTGATGTCATTTGTCTGATACTGTGCCTGATGCCATTTGTCTGATACTGTGCCTGATGACATTTGTCTGATACTGTGCCTGATGACATTTGTCTGATACTGTGCCTGATATGCCATTTGTCTGATACTGTGCCTGATGCCATTTGTCTGATACTGTGCTTGATGACATTTGCCTGATACTGTGCCTGATGACATTTGTCTGATAATGTGCCTGATGCCATTTGTCTGATACTGTGCCTGATGACATTTGATACTGTGCCTGATATGCTATTTGTCTGATACTTTAGGTTTGGATTATTATTGTTCCTGTCGCCGTTGTTAACACCATGCTGTTATTTTGTATATGTGTTTTTATTATTACTGATGTTAGTTAAAATTGTAATTGTTTACATTAATTTCAAATTTCTTGAAACCCTCTTTTTAGGAACATGGATTCTAGGATAAATGAATATAGTTTCTCGATCCCCTTTATATTTGAATCTTAACATACAAATCATGAAACTGTTTAAGGGCATTCATCACTCTTATGCGATCAATATAACTAACCAGAATATGTGTATGTTTCTTAAAAGACACTTGTCTACAGTTTTAAAAGAGTGAATAATGCTAGTTTTATTTATTTCCACAATTTCTAAGAGTGTTTTAATAATGATTTTCCCGTGGGAATAAATACAAGTTTGAAGATCTCAGTGTTGATGGCTGCCCTAGCGTAGAATATCTCGGCCCATATCTTGGTGGAGTAATGAGAACCTAGGCAGTTATTTTAAAACTTTTTTTGAAATACTATTAGTAATACTAGCATAAAAAACAACATTTTGTGAGTCTGAAAATGTGACGTTTCCCCTCCCCTTCCAACCAATAAGGTGATATAATTATGAAATTAAAGTATATTAAATACTAACACAGTTAATTTCGTACCTTTAAAAATGGATTATAGTATGTTTGCAATGACGCTTTTTTCAAATAGGTTTCTAGGAATCTATTGTTTTGACGTTCGGTATGGGTAATCTTCGTCGAGGACTCCCCTGGCTCAAAAATGTGAGTGAAGCTTTTCTCGAACAAAGACCGAGTCTGCTTCAACTGACGAAATAGCGGTTTATTCCCATGGACCTGCCCTAGGTAAAGAGTGGTACGAAGATAATTTGTCACTTGGTCCATGGGTAGAGAGTGCATGCGTTGGGCGAGAATGGTCGGCACAGTGCGATCTGCCTTGAAAAAGTTCATACTGTGGTCCCTCGATTGTGATTTCAATGCAATATAAAAAGCCCACAATAATATCGTGAGTATTATACACGTTTTCAGCCGCAAGCGATTAAACATTTTCCTGGGAAATAAATGAATGATCATAACCTAGAGATCAATGAAGAAGAAATAAACATTACATTACATACAAACCCACGAAAATAGTAAACAACAATGGTTGAATCACCGTGCCGCCAAGCCAGGATGGAGGAGGGGGAGGAACAGAGGGAATTTATTTAGAGGGCCCTCAATCAAACATCAATACAAATAAAAGTTAATTTTAAAATTAACTTTTTTTTACGCTTTCTTAGCGATGTGGTAAAAAAATACTATAGCGGCTGTTAAATTATCTTTATTCAACAGTCACTAACCCACGTTGTAGCGTAAACACAATAATCATTACACAGACTTCATTAGCGTCTTTAGCTCGGATGTCACCCCATGCGGTTATTAAGGGTGTCATCACCCATCCAGGGGCGGATCTACAGTGCCGCCAGACCCCGCAATGCGGGGGGGGGGGGGGGCAGGCCATTTAGGGACCCACAACCGACCATAATCAAAATTTTTTTTATAGTTAATAAACTAATTTTCTTGCATTTTTTACTTTGATGGTTGTTTTGTAAAAAAAATAATACTGTAGCTGCCGTTGGATTACCTTTATTCTATAGACACCATCCCGAGTCCTCTTTCTCCTACAATCAAGCACACGCTGTTGTCGGGAAAATTCTTTAGGAAATATATCAAAGTCCTGGCGCGAGAGGCCGCTAGATATTAAGGCGACTTGCTTCTTTATAGAATTGACTAGGTGCCCTCAATCCATTGTGATTTTATAATGTAAATGTTCGTTTGTTGTATTCGTAGAACTACTACTATTCTGTACTATAGTACATTAAAAAGAAAGGAGCGAATAGCGAGATAAATCCAGTGGATGATCCTAACTTCTGTTTGGCAATAATGAACTAAAATTAATTATCCCTTACTTTAGAAAAAAATTTAATAAAATAAACAACAACACACAAAATAAACTACAACAACAACTGTAGGTTTATATATTACAAGTTTTACATGTATTATGGATTTATAATAAAAAGAACAGCTAACTCGTCAACAGACTTGAATAAAAGTAGATGGCTGGGTTAATGTGCTGTAATAAAAAGCCGGTTTAAAGAGCGATCGTCATTCCCAATCAATACTAAATAAAACATTACAGCTTGTTGTCATCCCACAGGGCTATCTGCGTCCAGTGGAGGCGTATTGTATCCTTTGATTTATTTATATGATCATTGATGCTTTGTCGTTTATTACAGATGTAACGATTGTTGTACCTCTGTGCTTTTTTACTTTCTCGTATACAAAGTATATAGGAAGTAATGTAATCGTGCGAAAATTTTTTTTCGAGATTTTTCAAATTTCGACGTTTTACACCTCCCTTATTCGGAAAAACATAGTTTTACAATTTTGTCTGTATGTCTATGTGTGTGTGTATGAGTGTATATGCGTGTGTCTGTGAACACAATAACTTGAGTACCGTTACAGCTAGGTTGATGAAATTTCATATTTAAGTATTATATCGAATTTGTAGTTCTGATAATCTTTTCAGCGATTTCCGGTAACCGGAAGTGGAGCTTATTCTACTTTCAATTTTTCAAAAGCCTATAACGAGTACTGTTTCAGATAGATAAATGAAATTTTACATGTAAGTAAAAGATCTAATTCTCTGCCTTCTGTCAAATTTTGAGTAATTTCCTTTGACCGAAAGTAGTAATTTACGCGATTTCTGTTTACGCAAAAAACGAAAATGAATTTATAAAGTACTTTTATTCCGTACTATTATAAAGATATTGTTTGCCGTTCACATGGTGCGCAATTCTTTTTTTTTCTGCGAGATTCTATTATATTTTAAATGGTTAAGTAATTAAAAAATAGATTAAAAATCATGTCTATATTCCGAGTTGCCATCCCCCGTAGTGTAATATAAGAATACGTAGGTCGTTAAGGACGATACTACCCCCACCCTCCTTTCCCCCAACCCCTACCCTACACCCCCCCCCCCCCCCGTGAAAGCCTCCTCTTAGTTACCTCCCCTAAGTTTAAAATCGTTTCAAACTAAATTATATGTCCCTAATAGCCGTCACTAAACCCGGCTCTACGATTGTAAACATTTAGCGTGAACCAGAGCTCACCAGACCATGTGGGGGTGGGGTGGTAGCGATATGCCTAGAGAGGAAGAGAGGGGGCTGTTAGGAGGCGCGCTTACAGCTTGGTGTTTTCTATGGTCTCCAAGAAGAGAAATATATATATATATATATATATATATATATATATATATATATATATATATATATATATATATATATATATATATATATATATTAATACTAATAGTTTCGCTGTCTGTCTATGTATCTATCTATCTATCTATCTATGTATCTGACAAGAACGCTATAGAGTAAACACAAGCAAATTAAAAACTTTCACAGTAAAGCGGAAGCGAAATATGACGTCATATTCAGCATATAGTAGAAAAAAGTCGACAGCCGGGAGAGTGCACAAAATAATATGACGTCATTGATTCTCCAGTAAACATTGAATTAAAAAGCCAATTTTGTCTAATCTATGTGGTTTGCGTGAAGAGTTTCTTTCAAACAATTCTTCGGGTAGGGGCGAAGCCCCACCCTCGAGAAACAACGTCCAAGCCGACCCCCCCCCCCCCCCCCCCCCACACCAACTCAAAAGAAATTTCTTCATCGATACTCTATAATAAAAATTACCGCCTGATTAATGTGTCTAATCTAAAAAGTGGTTGCTTGCAGTTTCTTTCGTGCAATTCTTCGGGTAGTGGCTAAGCGCGACACCAGTGTTTCTTTCAGACTTTTTCCTTCCCGGAGGGGGAAACTTTTTCTAATCTAAAAAGTTTAGAGTGCACAGTTTTTTTCATGCATCTCTTCCCCGCCCAGGTTCTTCCTTTAGTTTGTATGATCTACAAATGCGACCAGTGTTTCTTTCAGACTTTTTCCTCCCCGGCGAGGGGTGGGGGTACTTGAATTTTTTTGGGGGGGGGGGGGCGGACACTGGAAAAAGTATATAATTATTTTCGTTGAATGGGACGGTAGACATGTTTTGGGGTGTGTGTGGGGGGGGGGGGGCGGAGCCCCCTCCTCCCAAGTAGAGTTGCCTGAAAGAAACTCTAAATGTGACTTTTGTCATGAATGAGATTAGGTGCATGGTTCAGGGATATGCCTATGACTATATTTTGTATAAATTAAAGTACCGATTCTGGATAAAAATTCGTTTCCAATGTCATTTTTTGTTTCCGGTTAAATTGAATTAAGGTGGTGATTTTGGTTTTGGTTTTAGTTTAGAGAAAATAGACAGCACTATCAACCTAGCGCCCGTTGTATCCTTCCTCAACGGGCCATTTTACTCGTATATATATATAAGATTCGATAAAGTTTAGGGGAGATCACTCCCGCTTTATTAAAATAAAATCCCGGATGAACCTTTTATTTTATTTTTTTGCGCATCTCTATGACCATTAAAAGACCAATTGATTATCGATGGTGCATTGATTGAAAGAGAGGCCACATTGCAATATTCTCAATTGTTTTTATTTCCCCACTTTCCTTATTAGTATTTATTTATCATTCTCAACTTTTTTAAACGCGACTTATGGATACAGAATAGCGGTATGGGACGGAGTGTTCTAGCGGTAGAGAACTGGACTGCTAATCCGTTAGTCTCGAGTTCGAATCCGGGTTCAAGTCAGTAGACCGTCCCTGAGTCCATCCAACTTTGATGGGTACCTAACTCACGTTAGGAATAGTAAAGGCGGCTGGGCAAGTGCTGAATACACTATCTCTTCATATGCCGAGGTCACAGAAACAAGTGAACTCTACTTCACTTGATCCTAGATCGTCAGGTTTGAAAAGGAAACTTATAGTGGTATAACCGTTAGGGGGTGGCAAACGGGGCGGCCGCCCCAGGCCCCGCACTTCAGCACCGCCATTGTTGTCTGAATTAGTTTGTAAACTTAAATAATCTTTGCTGTATTGAATTTGAAAAAAATGGCCGAAATTGTTGATTGTTATAAACTGAGGCCAAGGCTGATGCTAGTGAGTTATCCCCCACATGGCCTGGGACAGACCATCATTCGATACGAAGACATTAGTGTCATACCTCTCTTAGTGTGGACTCGCTTTTGACCTGAGGTGACTGGTGATGGCGGTTGCGAATTAAAATCAGGAAAACACGTAATGAGATACCCTAGTGTATTCTGACCGATGAAGTGAAAATGATTCTGACGAAAATAATTAATTCCCAATGATCGTAAAAGATGTATACGATCCGGGTAATTGGGAACATGTATCAACGATGTCCCAAGACAGGCTATGCGGCCTGTCGATTCTGTCAATAGAAAAATACATTGCCTCCAATTTGGACTATGATGATATAATCAAGGAATTTTCCTCACGAAAGGCAAAAAAAAAAAGTAGATCTTCGTTTGTGAACTGGTAAGATTTTCATAAATAAACAATGTAAAAAATCAAGTTTGAAGCCGATGTTCATCGTCTCTTTAATGCGTGTCTCTAACTTATAAACTTATATCTGTTTTATTTTTACTTTCTCGTATATACGAAGTATAGAGAAAGTCTTGTAATCGTGCAAAAAAAAAAAATCGAGATTTTTGCAAATCTCGACGTTTTACATCTCACTGATACGGTAAAACATAATTTTGCAATCTTGTCCGTATGTCTGTGTGTCCGTGTGTGTGTGTGTGTGTGTGTGTGTCCGTGTGTAAACACGATAACTTGAGTACCGTTACAGCTAGGTTGATGAAATTTCATATACAAGTATTATATCAAAATCGTAGATCCGTATCAACTTTTGAGCGATTTCGGATAACCGGAAGTGGTACTTTTTCTACTTTGAATTTTTCAAAAGCCTATAACTTGAGTACTATTTCAGATAGATAAATGAAATTTCACATGTAAGTAAAAGATCTAATTCTCTACCTTCTGTTAAATTTTGAGTAATTTCCGTTGACCGGAAGTAGTACTTTACGCTACTTCCGATTTCTCAAAAAACTAATGTAAATTTATAAAGTACTAATACTATTGCGCACTATTATACACACCTTTATTAGGCGTTCGCTTGGTGCGCAATTGTTTTTTACTGAGATTCTATTCTATTTTTAAAAGTTTGAGTATTTAAAATGGATTAAAGATCATAACTATATCCCCAGTTACCATCCCCTGTTGTTTTATATAAGAATATTCGAGAAAGTTTAGGGGAGATCACTACCGGTTTATTTTTATTTTTTTTAAAACAAAAAGCTTTAACAGAAATAAGCAACGTTTCAAAAGCACTTCTAAGTGAACACATTATTTTTTAATCAGTGTCTTTATGTCAAAACTAATATACGACATTGATAAGCAGCTTAAAAATACCATATATATCGTTATAAATATTAATTCGGGTTGAAAAGGGAAAAAAAAAACCGCCTCACTGTGCATGTTTTAGACACCAATGGAAAAATATAAGGTTGGCCCTAGGCCCCGCGTACCCCTAAGTCCACGTTTTTCATCGTGTTTTTTTTTTAAAATACCAATATTAAATTACCGTGAAATGGTAAGTCCATATGACTTGCTGCCCTCAACTCATGGCAACAATAGTTATGTTTAGTTCAACCACCTTTACTGCCCACATTTATCACGCTCATTACATAACAAAACTTAGGATCAAAACAGAAAGCCGACAAGGTTCAAAGGCTGTCATTGACGCATAACGTCAACAACACAAAATATGTTCGGACAATGCCTACTGAGGAGAGGCCGAGCAGAGAATAGCCTACGGCAAAATGTGCCTAAATTTCTTTTATAATTAACTTTTCTACCACGTATTTAACTAAATACGTAACAAAAGTTGAGATTGGTGTGTTATTATCTTAGAGTATTTTTACTTACAATTGTTATAAATCATGATGCTTTTAACGTCTATACATAATTTACGCTATCAAAAATACAACCCACAACAATAAACATACAAAATTTTACAATTCTTAACAAATTAATAAAAATATTTCTAGAAAGATTTTGTGACTTTTTTTCTGTGACTTTATTTCTGTGACTTTTTTTCCGATAAAATTTTTCCACTGTGACTTTTTTTCTGTGACTTTTTTCCTAGCAAAAACTGTGACTTTTTTCTGTGTTTTTTTTCCTGTGACTTTTTTCCGTTTACCTACCTATTACCGCCCGGTCAGTGCAAGCCCGGATAAACCCAGACTGGTTAATACCTTAACCTTAGTCTAAAAATAACGTGTAAAACAAATTCATCGTAGAACCAATCTTTCCTACATAAGGAACAGCCCGAAGCCATTGGTCTACCTAAACAACATCCATATTGATAACATTAAAGTTAACACACTCCGCTAAGGCCCCAAAGAAGGCAGACACAAAGTAAGCGATACTCAACATGACGTTGCACGAAACAGCACACACATTACTTTTAAACAACCTAAAACTCGAGGCAACTAAAATATACTAAATTACTGTCTAAAACAACTAACTATTGACTAAGTCAATCCTAGTCATCGTGGGGAACCCACAATAACAACACATCATAATAAAGTAAAACAAGTATATATATATATATATATATATATATATATATATATATATATATATATATATATATATATATATATATATATATATGCGTCAAATGAAAAAACGGCCCCGTCAAAACGACCCCGACAAATCGACCCCGACATAAGAGCCCCGTCAAATCGGCCCCGTCAAAAGTGCCAGCGAGATATGGATCCCGTCATATATGCTCCCGTCATTTAGGCTCTCGACATATAGGCTCCAGTCATTTAGTTTCTCGACAAAACGACCCCCGTAATTACAACTCCCGACAAATAGGCTCCCGCCATTTAGTTTCTCCACAAAACGGCCCCCGTCATTACGATTCACGACAAATAGCCTAGCTCCTGTCGATTTGGCTCCCGACAAAAGGACCACTGACAATAAGTCTCCCGGCAAAACGGTCTCATTGAATATGACACCTGCCAGTGGGACCCCTTTATCAATATCCAACACTCTTAAGTAATACAACATATGCATCTCATGTTCGGCAGGCCTTATTTTTATAATAGTTTATTTATTATCTATTATAAGAAATAGTATGTTTTAATTTAAGGGTCATCTATCTAAGACTTTCATAAATGAGTCGGTTATAGGCTGCTCCAACTCAGTGTGTGGGGGAGAGGGGTATACGCTGTACATTCCTATCTGCAGTCTGAGGCGTAGCGATGGAAGGGCGGGTGGGGTGGCCTAAGGGGCGTTAAAGCGGGTAGAGAAATTTATTAAAAGCTGATAAGCAGCATTAGTGAATTATTCAAAGTCGAGGTTAAGAAAATAGACTGCTAATTACCTTTACGGACTTATTTTTTTTTACATCGCTTTTAAGCAACATATCTTTTGTTGTAAATTAAACACTATCAAAATTCTAGAAGTTGTGCAATTTAGCTGTTAATGGCTCGATTTGTTTCTGAATTGATGTTGGTTCACGAAAAACAATTTCATTCAGGTATTTAAAAAGAGGTTATAGTGGTAGTGGAGTTAGGACAAAATGGTTACTTTTATGCCAATAGTGGTCATACGATTCATTTGTTTGGAGCCAATATGTTGGGAGTCATTTTGTCGGAAACCAATATGTCGGGAACCCATTTGTCGTGAGCCCATTTGTCAGGAGCCCATTTGTCGGGAGCCCTTATGTCAGGAGCCTATTTGTCAGGAGCCGCTTTGTCGGGAGCCATATGTCCTGAGCCTATTTGTCGGGAGACAATATGTCGGGAGTCCATTTGTCGGAAGCCTATATGTCGCAAGTCAATATGACGGGAGCCCATTTGACAGGAGCCAATAAGTCGGGGCTATTTTGACGGGGTCGTTTTGTCGTGGGTTGATTTGACGGGGTCTTATTAACGGGGCCGTTTTAACGGGGACGATTTGTCCCGGGCCGTTTTACCAGGGCACATGCAAATGCTCGCAGACGTTACATTTCTTAACTTTGACAGTTGCAGTTTGAATGAGCTTTTAATTATTTTCCTACCCCTTTTGCGCCCCCCCCCCCTTTCCCCGAGCTACGCTTCTGCTTGAAGGTTTGAACGAAATCGCTACAAATAGGTCGTAATTGAGTAACAAGATGTTCCACTAACCCTTAAACAAATCCACAAACAAACAGACGTTCGAACTAAATAAAAGCTTGTAAAATAAATTAGCTGCCATTAAAATTAAATGAGTAGTAAGAGCACAGATTTGAGCCCCTAAAGAAGGGGAAAGCATCCTTAAGATCTCCAGCAGTATACCTTTTCCCCTTTGACCTTTACACTTTGGACTTTTGTTTTGTGTTCAGATAGAGATATATCTTCAAAATCTTCAGTAAAGTTTCTTTACTAGAATCTAGATTCTATACTAGATCTAGAGATCTAGATCTTGAGTCTAGAATCTAAATTCTAGACGTCTTTAAAGCTTATCTAAATCTAGATGTCGACTGGTAACTACTAATTAATTACTAACTAACTAAACTTAACTACTACTAGTACTAGAGTAGAGTCTAGACTCTAGACTCTAGAGTCTAGAGTCTCTAGAGTCTAGCTAGATCTAGTAGTAGTAGAGACTCAGTCTAGAGTCTAGACTAGTCTAGACTCAGAGTCTAGAGATTAGAGATGCTAGCTAGATATCTAGATCTAGAATAGATACTAAATACTAGAATCTAGATCTAATCTAGATCATTACTAGAATAGGTCTAGATCTACATCTAGATTTAGACTCTAGATTAGATCTAGAGTTACAGTCACCAATTCAATACTAGGTCTAGATCTAGATCTAGATTCTCTAGAGAAGATCTAGAATCTAGATTCTAGATTTAGTGATTTTTATCTGTGGCTGCCAAAGAGAATAAAACTCAGAATAGGGGCCTAAAGAATATGATTAATTTATAATTATTAATTAGATCTAGTAATTAGGCCTAATGCTAATGATTATCAAATATCATTGATCCATTATCAGTTACCACAATAGACAATTATTTAATATTAGTTATTAGACTCTAGATCTAGTAGAAATAATATAGGCCCCTAATTAATAGATATAATCTAGGCTATATTATTATAATCATATAATCTAAGTTTTTGTTTAGTCAATTTAAAAGTAGGCCGATGCTAGCCGGAAAAAGATACGCATGCGCAATGGAGAGTAACTACGACTTGCCATCGCGGCGATGTTTTCGATGGTACTGCGCATGCGTGTGTTTACAACCGAACATAGCCTAACAGTTAACACCAACCCTAATCCTATCCCTAACCTTATCCCTAATCCTAACCCTAGCCCTAAAGGCCTAATCCTAACCCTAGTCCTAATCCTTTCCCTAACCCTAGCCCTAATCCTATCCCTAACCCTAATTATAGCCCTAACCCTAGCCATAGGTCACTGCGCAGAGCTATCTTTTGCCGACTAAGTGGAGACGTAGGGGAGAAAAATCTTCTTCCGAGTAGTCACTTCGTTAAAAGTATTAGTAGGACTAATATTAATATTAGGCATTTCACTAGGCTAACCGCTAACCTTTACTTTAGAGTTTCACTTTAGGACTGAGGTAAGGCCCAGTATAAAAAAGTATATAGATTTTCTATATAGCCTAGCTAGGCTTTAGGCCTAATTAGAATAATTTCAAACTAATTTGAAATTAAGATTAAGAGGCGTAATCACTAATCTATTTTGAAGTAGATCTAACTAAATCTAATAACTATTTATAAAGTTATTAAAACATTTATTTCTACAGGCCTACCATGCCCTATCTAGTATCTAATATGATAACACTAGCGTACCCGTCCTCGCACTTTGACGCGGGAATAGAAGAAAGTCTGACAAAATATATAAGAAGGGTTTCATTAATGCGTTACCAATCCTATGTTCTGAGACGCGTGACCTTGTTTTCTAAAACTGAGTTATTTAAAATTTAAATGTAAACAATGCCTGCACTTGGATCATAAATATCGAGACACAGGTTTACCTACACTACCGCATGATAACCTTGAGTGTACGTCAATCACCCACCGAAATAATGAGGTAGAACACACTTCGGTGACTGCCCATGTGTCAGGGACATGGATGGGCACTCTTGGGAGCCCCCAATTACACTACTGTAGAGGCGCCATAGCCGGGGTGCTTCGGGTCATGAAATCTTCGGTGTGCCTGTTAAAGATTTAATGCTGAATATAGTTTTACCCCTTACCCGCTATGCAGGGCGCACGATTAGCGGATGCCAAGTGCTAACATAGCCGCTCTGGAACTCTTGGCGCCAAACTGTGTATTGACAAAAATCGCACCCTTCCGGGTTTTGTTAACAGAAACCTTCCAAGGAGTATTCTCAGCAACTCCTTAAACTTTTATAGCACTCGTATGAAAGGTATCGAACCTCATCTGACTTTCATTTTTTTTAATGTACCGTATATAGAGAAGAATCCCACCCTCCCGGGGTGCAAAATTATAAAAGATTTATTTACAGAAATCTCCCCTGGAGTGTTCTAATCAACTCCCCAAAGTTTCATAGCACTCGGATGAACGGTGTCGGACCACATTCGACTATTTTTTCTATATAACTTTTATAGATAAAAATCGCACCCCCCCCCCCGTGGCGCCGCCCTTGCGAAATTAAAAAAGATTTTTTTGCAGAAACTTCCCTTTGAGTGTTTTAACCAACTCCCCAAAGTTTCATGGCGATCGGATGAAAGGTGTCAAACCCCAATCAACTTTTATTTATATATACCGATATAGAGAAAAAACAATTTGCGCAGATAATCTTCTATTGGCCATCGCGATCTATTGATGGTGTTTTAAAGCAAATATAATTTATGTTGAGATCATAAATTAGGAATCACTAAAAAGTAGAAAATAAAACAAATATAGGTGGAGGAGTTTCACTCACTCACTGAGTAAATCCAATACTAGGCTCTTCTGGTCATTTTAATTCACTTTCTAAATACACTTTTAACACTACACTTTATCCCTTAACTTAACAAAACTTAAAATTTACATTTTTTAACCTTAATGTTACTTTGTTACTTTTAGCTTAAATTTCTTCACTACATTTCTCTTTGTTGGTGTTTCCCACTTTCTCAAATAGGTTCTAAATTAAATAAACCTATCCCAGGAGGTTTGTTTTCCTCCCTTTTAGAATGTTTTGGAGATGAGTTAGGTAAGTGTCATTGCGGCGTGTTTCTTTCCACAAACTGTCAAACCCACTTATCCAGTTTCGCAGAATTTTGCTTGTATGTTCAAGCAAATGTTAGCTTGCTCAATATATATAAATAAATACATATATATATATATATATATGTACTACATACCCATCCCCGCGTGTTAACGCCGGAATAGAAAAAAGTCCGCCGAAATATATAAGGGTGTCATCCATGCATTACCAATCCTATATTCTTAGACTCGTGACCTTGTTTTCTAAAAGTGAGTTATTTAAATGCGAACAATGCCTGCGCTTGGATCATAGATATCGGGACACGGGTTTACCTACACTACAGCGTGAAAACCTGGAGTGTACATTAATCACTCACCGAAATAATGAGGTAGAACACACTTCGGTGACCGCCCATGTGTCAGAGACGTAGAGGGGCTCCTTAAAACTAACAGGTGCCATCATGCCAAATAGCATCCTGTTAACAATCATGCAGATTGCATCATTCGCTAAAGTGACACAAATGAACAGGATTTGTTATTTAACAGGTAAAAAATTATTTGACTTTTTTTAAACATCAGTGTGACTGTAGCAATATGTTAGCGTCACTAATGCTCTATTCTTAGATGCTAGATCTCAATTTCTGATTGGATTATCAAAAATAGATGCTAATTGCATCATTCGCAAAGTGACGAAACTGTTTGGATTTTTTTTACGGACAAAAAGTAACATCCCAGTTAATAATCTAACCTTGGTTAATTTTTTTGATTATTAAAATAAAACGTATTACATGGCCCTAAGCGGCCCATGTGAACCTTTGGGGGCCAAAACGGAAATTTTTATTTGCAGCCTAATCGCATCCTACCAGGGTGCCAGAGGACACGCCTGATTCAATTTAGTAAGCGTTTGTAACGCGCCATCCTATTCATTGTCTATCACACTGTTAAGACTGAAAGTATTCACCATAGCGCTCACGGGAAAGACCAGGGCGCCAAATCGTATCCTGCCGGGGGGTCGCCCATGCAAAATTAAATCGACTTTTATTTTTACATACCATATATATAGAGAAAGTAAAAAGTTATATTACTATTGATTAGATAATACTATTGACTTTTATTAGGGAGCTTGTCAACAGTATTAGAAACTGTAAGAAAATCACGGCGCCCCACATTTTTCATCGCTTATAGTAGAGTGATCGCTTGCATTATTGTGATGTATAGCATTTATTTTCTACTTTTTAGTTCAATCAGAAAACGTGGGTTTTTTAAAACTTTTTTAATGATAATTATTTTCTACTTTTTAGTCTTTGTCTGTTTGTTTGCATTAAAATCTTGCTATCGATTTTATCTTTTCGCATTCACTTTTTTTTTGGGTAAACGAAGACAACTCGTAAAAAACACGTGCCTTGAACCCGTGTCGAGTGGGTTAGCAATCGTGTGCCCAACCACTCGACCATATCGTCTCCCCCATACTGGCCACCAGTTGTTCCGGTTGTTTGTACACAAACACCGCGTGACCATAAACTCCGTAAGCCAAAAGAGGGAGAGTACCGAACCTTGTTTTCATCAAATTACAATGACTGGGTTATGTCCCCTTTTCCCACGTTTTTTGTACAAATATATAGTGGTCTAAAAGGATCAATAAAATGTTTCCATGGATGAATTTAGTAATAATAACAATTGAATATTCTATTGTCATCGGAAACAAAGCTTCCCTGAAAATTTCAGCGCGCTAGCTAACTGGGAAGTGCCCGAAATTTCGATCGCAAGATTTGATTGGAGAACCAAACAAACAGACGCGAAAGCAAGTTAAAGAAAACGTGGGAAAAATGAATTTATGCTCCATAGTGCTCTTTGTCAAACAACTGCCTGGATGCAGGTGGTCCCATTAACCAACCCCTGGTGCTAAGATGGTCATTGGGGAACTCAATGTGCCCAGCCATACACTACCAATTTAAATATTAGAGTTGTGCCCTGAGTTCCCCTGCAGCTATTTAAGCACATGGGGTTCATTGACTGGGAGCCCTGCAGGGTTTGGGGATACTATTTGCACCATGGGCATCTGCCAGCATGTTGTGACCTCAAGTGTCCGGGCTCCTCTGTTGACACTATGGTGTCTACATTTGTTTAAAAAGTCTGATACTAGGGATATGGTGGGCTGCTACAAGCAATAACTAAACAGAACCAAGGGTTACACCCAGCGCCCCTGCAGTAGTGTAACTGATGGCTTCCAAGAGTGCAAAATAAGGGTGATCTTCTTATATCAATGTTTTCTGGGGCGTCTGGACAAAGAGCCCCCACAACTAAGATCTAAAAAACACAGAGCCTGCATTGCTTACATTTTAATAATTCAGTTTAAGAAAACAATGAATCCCTGAGATTGCAGCAACATGAAATAGGTACACTAATTCACTATTAAGCTTCAAAATGTAGGCCCTATACATTTATAAATTAAATATTTTTTTTGCAATCTATGAAGCTTTTGGAAAGATGATAACACAAACTAATTTTTAATATGATACTAAAATTGTTTTTCAAGTATTACAGAATGCTAACATGTAAGAACAAGCTATTTTTCATTCGACCAAGCATATGTGGATTATTTCATGGATCAGCACCATTATCATTCAACTCTGCTGATACTAGCAATTTAGTAAGCATGAGAAAGAATGAAAACATTGAAGTAAGTGGAGCTTCATTAGAAAAACTTACTCAGTCTTCAATGCCTTTTGCTAGTGCCAAAATAGGGAACTTTTTCCAAAGTGGCCCAGAATTAAAAAACCAGTACACTCAAGATTCACTTTTAAAGAGTTACTTGCGACACCATGTACCAGATAAGGTAGGCCTTATATGTAACTTTTTAGCTATGCATTAAGATCTATCTCTGATACTTATTTACATTATCTTAACTTTTCATGAGGAGGGTTTCTTGATTAGTTTTTGTAAAATTCCTACTCTTTTGACAAAAATGATTTTTAAAATTTAAATCTTTTCATTTAAGATATTTTCTTGAAACAATTTTTAAATTCCTTAGCATTTTTCTATTATTAATGCTGACCTTGAAAGATTTGGGGACAGAGTAGCTGGAGAGCTCTACAATCTTTCTCTTCGAATGGAAGCAGAGCAACCTAAGGTAGTTATGTCTTTAAATTAGTCTGAAATGAATTTGGTAAGAAATATCTGCTTAAAGTAAAATAATCCGGGTAAAAAGATGTTACGTTTTATTTTAATGTTATATTTTCTGTGTTAGAGTTGTATGAAGTATGTGTAGTAAAAGAACTAAGGGTAACATTGACCTTAATCAATCTTAAACCTAGTGTTCTAAGATTTTTTTAAGCAAGCTACTTATCAAAAAAATTCAGCTTGAACAAACAAATGCCTGGGGAATGAGGGTAGACAAGTTGATTACATCAACAGCATGGCAAAGAATGAAAGAGATAGCTGCAGAAGAAGGACTTGTTGCTTGTGGATATGAAAGAAAGTTTGGTGAATGGAGGTAATTTTTTTAATAATACAATTTAAATTGCAAAATATACTCATCCTTCTGTTTAGTGTTGCTTATACATCTCCTTCACACACACACTCAGGACGTGCACACGCATGCACACACTTATATCAGTATTTAGTTTTTGTGTGCTTTAATCACTGTAAAGTAAATTTGTTATTCTATCTCAAAGACCATTGAACAATCATAAGTCCGTTTTGCCTGATAAATCAAGAATCAAATACTGAACATCATGAGAGTAACACTTAAAAATGAAACGCAATTATTTTTTTTAAGTCGATTGTATCAGATAGCAAAGTTCTTTCTCTTCGAACCCTCTGGTGGGTTATACGGATGTCCACTAGCAATGACAAATGGAGCTGCAAAAACGCTTGAGGTATTTTTTTTCTTTCTGTTAGATCCTATCAGGTAAAGCATGATTCCTGTTCACTGAAAATTCTGCCCTAGCTTTTTTCTTTAGGCCTAGCTAAATAATCAGATTGTGGTGCTGAGTTATCTATCTATATATACATATATGTATATACATATATATATATATATATATATATATATATATATATATATATATATATATATATATATATATATATATATATACATATATATATACATATATATATACATATATATATATATACATATATATATATATACATATATATATACATATATATATATATATATATATATATATATATATATATATATATATATATATATATATATATATATATATATATATATATATATATATATATATATATATATATATATATATATATATATATATAATTAAACCAAGCATGCCTGCTGTGTGACCCAGCATACCTGGGCTTCACCATAAACACTATGAGGCCCTAAATTTGCTTGGATACTATGTATGGTTTACTAAAATTGATCATTAAATTATATATATGTGGTCAGTTAATTAGGGGTCCTGAACAGGTGGGTCAGGGCTATTACTTGATTTAACCTCTGGCACCCCAGCTGTCAGGTGACCCAGAGCGCCCAGGCTCCCTTTAAGTACTATGGCTCCTATATTTGTTTTAAAAAGCACCCTACACTAGATCACAGTGGGCTATTACATTAGATAACTAAACCTAACTAGAAATGGCATCCTGTTGTTGTACCTCACTATAACGGAGGGTGATTAGCGTACACTCAGTGTCTACATATAGCATGTCTATGGAGAGGCTACGATCCTAGAAATATAGCTCTGGCTTTGTTTACTGTAAAATTACAAGGGCACACAGTTGGGAACACTATTATAAATATAAATATTATAAAATGTTTTGTCATGTTATTTATAAACATTCTAAAATTGTAGGTTGTCTGACTATGTAGGCATGCAAAGGCATATAAATAAATATATAAATAAATCCCATAAACGCTGGGGGGGGGGTCATTAGGGCACAATGGATTTGTGTGGTGTGTCTAGGGCTAGTGTCAAATGGCAGCGCCCACCTCTCTCCATGCCTGACAACAGCCAGATGCCTCCATCTAGGCGGGTCACCTTTGTCAAGAACATGTGGCCGTTGAAGTTCATCTAGGAACTCTTGCACTCTAGCTGTTGACCTTTACTGGAAGGTCATACACCTAGTAATGCCGTGTTAGCATCAGTTGTTTGATTTTGGAGTTTTCTCTCCTAGATGAGTTGCTGTCCCCAGCTATTGAGGTTCATCTGCCCAGAGATTTGAACTCTGAACTTTTTGGTTTACCAACCATGAGCTTTACCATGCCAAACATAAAATTACAGATTTCACTTTAGGTACTAAAAGAACAGTGCCGTCCAGTTTATGAGAGAGCTTTCCATCGTTTAACAAGTAGAGATTCTAAAAGAGTTTGGACTTCTGGGCAATGGATGACAGAAAAAAAGGGGGGATCTGATGTTGGTATGTATATATGTTATGACCACAGAAGTGCTACATATTCACCCATTGGCTGGCTTGTTCACACATTAGCTGACTCACATGGTCAATGTCCAAAGAAATTAAAATTGACAGCACATTTCATATATGGCCGGAATGGTTTTGTCAATGTCCAAAGAGCCAAATTTACAGCACATTTTGTACATTGGCCAGCCACTTTGCAAACTGGCCGGGAATCCCTGACAATGTCTGATGGTGTAAATTAATTGTTTTGGCTGCAGTCATTTAGACCCTCTTTGAAAATACCTATGTTTCAGGTGCTGAAGTGGGATAGAGGTGTGTACTATTTAGTACAATAAAATAATTTGGCTATTTCTGTCATTTTCTTTACTTAACAATAATTATAGACCTAATTTCACAATTATAACGATATACACACTCAAAATGTGTTCATTATTTGGACATTAGCCAGTTTGAAAACTGGTTGTATAATGTCCAAAATGAAGACAATTTTTGGACATTGCTGGCCTATAGGAGGTGTAATTAGCATCTGCAGACGATGCACGCTTTGGCGAACTTCGGTCTTGGTATGTTATATAATGTAAACGTATATACATATATGTATATGTATCATCACCTTTTCCCGTTTGTGCCCAAAACACATGGAGCAGATTTTGCTGTGAGATATTTTGTCTGAGATATTTTGTCTGAAATGATTTGTCCTTGATATCATTTGTCCTGATATATTTTGTCCTGATATATTTTGTCCTGATATATTTTGTCCTGGTATCTTTTGTCCGTGATATCATTTGTCCTTGAGATCATTTGTCCTGAGATCATTTGTCCGTGAGATATTTTGTCTGAGATAATTTGTCCTGTTACCGTATACACATACAATCTTACATGAAATTTTGGATGATTTTAGATACCGATGTCTCAAAATAGACTCTTCTAAAATAGGCGTGTTGGGTTGTTAGTATTATTGTAACTTTGACTAGTTTATGGTTAGAAATTAGGTTTAGGCATATGGTATGACTAGGGTTAGGGTTAGCGATAGGGTTAGCATTGACATTAGCAAGCTGTGTGTATTTTAGTTAACTACCAGTAATCTTACACACCTTTGCGGACACTGGTGTAAAAATTCGTTCATCTAACTGAAACAGTTCTCAAGATATCGATATTTTAGAAACAAGAAATTGAGTAAAGTACCACTTCCGGGTTTAAAAAAAAATCACTCAAACGTTCAAATAATTCTGTAGGGAGCCAGACATTTTCCTGAAAGACACTTGCCCAAATGCCGTTTGACCGAAGGCCGATTTCCCAAATGGACACCTGACCGGATGCGACAAATGCCCAAATGGACACTTGCCCAAATGCCGAAAAATGTTAATATTAAATAATAAATAATATTACCAAATAGACATTCTTAATCAATTCATGTTTGAAATTTTAATAATCAACACAATCATAAGCATAAAAACAAAGTTGGTAATATTTTTAAAATTCAGTTTTTATTTTTTGCAAAGTGAGAACTTGCTGTATTCTTTAATAAATTTAAGTTGATATTGAGGGCAGTGTCTTTATACTCTCTTGATTAATGTTTTGAACACCTTGTTTAGCCTAAATGTTGCGGTGGTTATATAGCGTCTATGACACGCTGTAGGCGGCGCCACGTCTTGCAACATTCATTCAACAGGGACGCATTTGTTTATCTTGTTATGCTTAGCTTCTGTGGTGATCATTTCACAACAGAACGCGCACAGTCTATGTGGCAAATTTAAAAAATAAAGGTAGTCAATTATGTTTTGTTTCCATTTAATGCACTTTGTTTAGACAATGATTGAAGTGATTACTTTATAAAGAAAGCAAAATTCATTTAAAATCATAGATAGAAAATAAAATGTATTTGTACACTTTATATGCGGCTGGGCATAGTGCTGACCACACTCTCTTCATATGCCGAGGTCACAGAAACAAGTGAACTCTACTTCACTTGCCCCATAGACCGTCAGGTTTGAAAGGGAAACTTTACTTTACTTACACTTTATATAGCAAATACAAATCAATTAAGAATGTATGCATGGTAATATATATTTTACGTTTTCTTTCTTTTTTGTTTAAATATGTAAAGCTTATCAAAATTTCAAATTTTAATTGACTGCAAATAATTATTTGGTAATATTTAATGTCAACATTTTTTGTGTGCAAGTGGCTTTCAGGCATTTGTCGTATTCAAGCAAGTGTCCATTCGGGCATTTGTTACATTTGGGAAATCGGCCTTCGGGCATGTGGCTTTTGGGCATTTGTCGTAGACCCGATTCTGTGAATACTATTTAAAACATAAATGAGAGATTTTAACCACAACACAAAATAGTACCAAAGTTATCAGTTTTTGAGAAACTGGAAATAAAGTAAGTTCTACTTCCGGTTACCGAAAATCACTTAAAAGTGGATAAAAACCTATTTATAGGACATAATATTTATATACAAATCTTTGTTTAGGTTACTGCTAATGATTATCTATCAACGTGCTTGTCCTGTTGATTTACAATTTTTTTCTTTTTTTAGCAGGAGGAACAGAAACTGTTGCTATCAAACAGACTGATGGTTCTTATAAGTTATATGGATACAAATGGTTCTCTTCTGCAACTGATGCAGATGTAGCATTGACTCTTGCAAGAGTGTTGGATGCTAATGGAGCAGTTGTTGAGGTTCATTTTCTTTACTTAAAAAAGCTATGTAAAGTCGATATGGCCTACTAATTGATATATATTGTTAACAAGCCGACCCATGGCGTAGCATATGCCACTATTTAGTTGTTTTATTTTCTACTTTTAGTAATTCATAATTTGTGAATTGGACACTACCAATGCTGCGACTGAAAATATTTTGCTTTAAAACACTATCAGTAGGACGATTATCCTCACCCTCCCCACCCCAGTGAAAGCAGCTGTACGTGACGACAGTTTACAGACCACAATGAACAGTTCAAGCAGAACTTGTTTCCCCCCCCCCCCCCTTTAGTTTTAAATTGTTAAAAAACTAAATTATCTGCCCCTAATAGCCGTCACTAATACCGGCTCTATGGTTTAAACATTCGACTTAAACCATAGGTCACCAGACTGGTAGGGGTGATAGCAATATGGTCTGTTGCGCATGGATTGAGAGCGAGGGGGGGGGGGGGGTGGGGGTGGGAGGAGGGTTAGATAGTCGTCTTGCTTGCATGGTGGTGTCCACGTAGAGAATTATATATATAGATACAAAAATTAACATATGTTATTCTTATGAAATAGTTTTGTAATCGACAGAATTCTCATATCCAACCATAATAATTTAGTTTTTTGATTAGTTTATTTTGGGTAATTAAATCATCATCTATAAAGGCATTAAAGGTCCGTGTTTTCATTAATCTGCAATCTTTACTTGAAAGCTGATTGACCGAGCCTACAGCTTCTCAAAACATATTTTAAACTTGCCTTAAAATATATTTAAAAATACAGTATTCACGTGAGGGGAAATCTTTTTAAAAAAACATGTTTTTATATTATTTACATATTTTTTTGATTAGGGAACTCGAGGGCTATCCCTATTTTATTTGGAACTAAGAGATGAACACGGGGCTATGAATAATATTCAGATGTTGAAGCTCAAAAATAAACTTGGGACTAAACAGCTCCCAACTGCTGAGTTATTGATTGATGGGGCTCAAGCAATTAAGGTCTGGTATAAAAACGTTGAAAAAATTACTTTTTGACTATTTATTTTCTATTACTTTAACCCTTGATTGATTTTGTCTAGGTCTAATATTTTTCTAATTTATGTTGAGAATATTTTGAAACCAAATTTATTTTTCCCCTCCAGTTATGTTAAAATTAATTTGGACTAAAAACTTTACCCAGTTATCAGATGATGGTAGAGGAGTTGCGTCTATGTCACACATGTTGACATTAACTAGAATACACACTGCAATGGGGGCAGCTTCTGCAATGAGACGGTATGAATAATTTTGTTGATATTTTTATATTTCAATATTCCTAAACTACTTTTAAAACTTGTTATATTTATTTTTAAATAAATAGTTTTAGACTTTTAATTACTCTTTTCAAAGAATATGTAATCTTGCAAAAGACTATGCCATGAAACGTAAAGCATTTGGGAGGAATCTTCACAGCCAGCCCTTACATGTTCATACACTTGCTGAGATGGAGGTGGAAACTAGAGGAGCAACTATATTTGTATTAGAACTGGCACGTTTGCTGGGTAGACAGGAAGTATCTAGCAGTTCTCTTCAGCTTGAAGAGGAGAGTGAAGTTTTGAGACTTATTGTTCCACTTGCAAAGCTGTATGTGTCCAAACAGGTACATTCAAAAAGCAGTAGTACTCTAGTTTATTTTGTATGCATTGAGCACTCAATTTTTCATTATCTTACTTTTAAATACTTTTAACATATTTTTTTTAATAAAGCCAAAGTAACATAAATATGCCAAATGCCTCTACTCATTTAATGTTTCCCCAAGTCTGTTGCAGTTGTTTCTGAGGGCTTGGAATGTTTTGGTGGCCAGGGTTATATAGAGGACACAGATTTACCAAGAATCTTGCGAGATACACAAGTAAATTATTTAGGCTTAAGTTTTTATTCAATAAACTTTTTTTGGTCAAATATAGATGTTTAAATTATCATAATTGTGACATTGTTATTCTGCTTGTAAGAAAAATGGAATTGCACAAAGAATTTTAATATATATTTATCACTATAGGTAAATGCTATTTGGGAAGGAACTACCAATATTTTATCCCTTGATGTGCTGAGAGCAATTATGAAGTCTTCAGGCTCAGTTCTAAAATGTTACAAAAAAAATGTTTTAAAGAACTTAGAAACAGGTAGAAACAACAGTGCTCTAATGCCTCAGATTAAAACACTGGAAGAATCTTTGGATAAAGTTTTGGCTTATTCTTCTAAATTATCAAGAGTTTATCTTGAAATGGCATCAAGAGATTTGGCTTACAGTCTGGCTGCAATTTACATAGGTAAGTTGATTGAAAAAAATTCCAATACATTATATTGAAATGATTTATTTTTAGAGAAGTCGGTATACATCTTTTCTTTTAACTCCCTTTTCTTAACTTATTATCAGTAGGGTACTATTAAATTTCTTTGACCATTTCAAAATTACATTGTTTCTAATTTTTTTAAAATCATTTTACCTGGACTATACATTGCTTGATTATCATCATCTTTTCTCTTTTGAGTCCAAGACACATGAGGCAATAACCTTGGCATACTTGGGGATATTGTGGTCAGCACTATGCTCAGCTGTCTTAGTTTCACTAGTCAGGTACTCATCAGAACCTGGGATTCAAACCTCGAGACTTAAGTGTTAGCAGCATGACCACACTGTCCCATTTGCTTGATAATACTATGGTTTGACCCTAATAACACATCGATAGTTTGATGATTGCTTTATTTCTGATTGAATTGCACTTTTTATTAAATAAACCTTTGTTATTTTATGCTTTTGAAACTCTAACCTTAGGGAGAGATTGGAGAAGGGTCTGAAAAATGTTGATTTTTGTAGACTGGGAAGAGGGAGGGGAGGTTGGGAGGTACTGGTCCATGTTGACATCCATATGTTACATTTAATATAAAAAATTATGGTTACAGCAAGTGGCGGCAACCTGTTGAGACGGAAGAGCCAAAAGTTACAATTTACAAAATTTCCCAGTTTTTAAAGAGCCACCAACAATGTTTTTTCAACATTTGGTATTTGATTAGGATTAGTTAAATAAATTTAATTTCTTATTTGAAATAAATAGCTTTAATTATGAAATAATATTAATTCATGTAAAAACATACACATGTTTCACCAGAATAATAAAATTATTAATCAAATAATGTAAGCCTACTATCCCAGTCCAGTTTAGAAGCTGTTCTTTTTTAAAAAAAATTTCTTTTTACGGATAACACCGGCTCAGGAGGTGTCTCCCATTAGCCAGGCAGGTCTCAACACAGCAAACTCAGACTAACTGGCTTGAATATCGGTTTGATTACCGTGTATTGGTCGCTTCTGTCCTTCGGTTCTCACCAGGCTTATATTCCACCCTACCGCCAAGTGAAAATGAAATTATATAACTGTTAATATTTGTACAAGGAGCTGGAGAGCCGCATCCTGACATCAAAAGCCGTAGGTTGCAGACCCCTGGGTTACAGCATATATATATATGGTTACTAACTGAGTGTGTCACAACAGACAAGACATTTAACCTGTAATAGCAAAAGTGAAGCCAAAGTTTTTTTTTTCTTACAGTAGTCTGTTATGATTCGTCCATTATGAGTAGATAATTGCAAATGAAAATTCACCCACTTGACAATTAAGTCAAAATGCAAAGACAATCCTTATGTCTTGACTTGGTTAAATTTTAAAATTTACTCTCCTTAGGTTTGAAAACGTTTGTGAACACTGGCTGATAGAGCATCATTATTTAATAATCTTGTTATCTCCCCTTCTGATGTTGCCTATTGTGATCTTTAACAAAATTAATTTTTAACTACTAATTCATTAATTGGAAATGCACTTGTCTATAGAGTTTGACAAATAGCTTCATAAAAATGGGTCAAACTTGTAAAATTTGATTTAGCACAAACTTACCCTCAGATTGGTTACCCAAACACCACCCTCTGTTTTTAGCTTAGTAATGCCTCTTCTTTTACTTTTATGGCCAAAAAGGTTTAAAAACTTCATATTTGTTTATAGTGTCAATTTTTTCATCCGATGGCTTATTTATATAGGCTACAATAGGTTCAATCACTTTACACCATTAACTCAGCAGGATTTGCTGTTTATTTTAAAGCTCTTTAATGGCATCAACAGTTTTTACCTTATATTTTGATTGTATGAAGCAACATAATAATTTTCTGTTTAATGGAGTAGGTAGCAAATCATTACAGTGGAGCATTACTTGTCATAAAACATAAAATGAATTATAACATTGATTTTTATTGACAAAGCCATCAATTACAGCAGAAGGGTGAAATAAGGATAGCATTTTTATTGTGTTGAGCTGTTGCCACTATATTTTGTAATATCCGACAGGTGCCTTGTTGGTTAATCATGCTTCACATCCAGATGCCACCAGCTCAGATATTTATACAGCACAGCGGTCAGTAATAAACAATTAATTTTTCTTAGTAATTAGTAACAGTGTAGTTGTTTGTCTTTAAATACTTTTGCAAAAGTCATAAATGAGTAATACAAATACTAGTTACAAGATCACTAGGTAGAAGTACTTAAATTACTGAGAAGACATAGACAAAGCCATGACATCCCCTTTCCCAAAGCAAATCATCAGTTTTTCACTCCTATACATAATTATGCATATCATATATATATATATATATATATATATATATATATATATATATATATATATATATATATATATATATATATATATATATATATATATATATAATGTGTGTGTGTCTTAAATATCTTTATCATATTAATATCTTTAACTACTTCCCCTTTTCAAAAATGTTCATATAAAAGCTTTTAACTTTTGTTTCCCATAACATTTCACTATTAAGCACTTGGTGAAATATTACATTTTATGTAATGATGGTGACAGATATGGCCAATGTTTTACCTTGATGTACGGATGCGTACATTGTCACCAACTTCAGCTTGTTTAAATTTGTTGTCCACGATGTCTTGTTTATTGTGACACAATCTGCAGGTAATATTTCCTCTGTATCCTTCCGCAAATAGCATGGACATGGTTGCCACAGGATCCACAAGAACGGGCTGCACTTCAATGTTTTTCACAAACTATACAGAATCTGTTCGCCACGTTATTGTCACGCAACTGGTCTGGACGTTCCGCCACGGCAGCAGATGTGTTAGCTGAGGATGTCGTTGCATTTATGGCAACCTCCATTTCTTGTTCCATGTTCTCAAGATCTTTCTCAGTAACTAAACTATCGAGTGCCTCTCTTGGTAGATTTGAAGTGCTAAGTCCCACTTTTGCTTTGCATCCAAACAAGGCTTCGTATGGCGATTGTTGGATTCCTTGATGAAAAGAACGATTTTTCCCACGTTTTCTTTAACTTGCTTTCGCGTCTTTCCAATCAAATCTTGCGATCGAAATTTCGGGCACTTCCCAGTTAGCTAGCGCGCTGAAATTTTCAGGGAAGCTTTGTTTCGGATGACAATAGAATATTCAATTGTTATTATTACTAAATTGATCCATGGAAACATTTTATTGATCATTTTAGACCGCTATATAATTGTACAAAAAACGTGGGGAAAAAGGGACATAACCCAGTAATTGTAATTTGATGAAAACAAGGTTCGGTACTCTCCCTTTTTTGCTTACTGAGTAGTTGTCACGAGGTGTTTGTGTACAAACAACCAGAACGTAACAACTGGTGGCCAGTATGGGGGAGACGATATGGTCGAGTGGTTGGGCACACGATTGCTAACCCACTCGACACGGGTTCAAGGCACGTGTTTTTTACGAGTTGTCTTCGTTTACCCAAAAAAAAGTGAATGCGAAAAGATAAAATCGATAGCAAGATTTTAAAGCAAACAAACAGACAAAGACTAAAAAGTAGAAAATAATTATCATTTAAAAAGTTTTAAAAAACCCACGTTTTCTGATTGAACTAAAAAGTAGAAAATAAATGCTATACATCACAATAATGCAAGCGATCACTCTACTATAAGCGATGAAAAACGTGGGGCGCCGTGATTTTCTTACAGTTTCTAATACTGTTGACTCTCTACAAGCTCCCTAATAAAAGTCAATAGTATTATCTAATCAATAGTAATATAAATTTTACATCTTATATTAACAATGACCGATAAAAAACTTTTACTTCGGCGCCCCACGTTTTTCATCGCTTATAGTAGAGTGATCGCTTGCATTATTGTGATGTATAGCATTTATTTTCTACTTTTTAGTTCAATCAGAAAACGTTGGTTTTTTTAAATACTTTTTTAATGATAATTATTCATAAATTGAATGAATTTGAGACTCTCAGCCCAATCGGCTGATTCATTTGTTTGCATCCATGTCATCATCATGTTTTGAAGATCTTGGGTGGCACGTTCGACAGAATCTTGGCTTTGGCTATGCCTTGGTTTTCCGTGAACTAGTTTAAATTCAGGCCACATGTTCTTTAGTTCAGAAATAACTTGATAAACAAATTCTCTTCTATTATCTGATTGAAAAATACTTGGGGCACCAATAGCCGTGAAGATATCCAGCAGCTGGTAAGCAACTGGAATGCAATTATGTCGGTATTTATCATGCAGTCCAGTCAAGTCGCGGTGATGGGTCTGCTTCATTTGGTATTCCCCTTTTGTTGGGGAATTATGGTTTCTGACGCCCACGCCAAATCAAGTCGCTTTGACACTATTGTTCAACTTACAAGGGTAGCATCGAACGCGGCAAAGTCTTTTGTACGTTCGGTCTTGTTGCACGTGGTCGGTGACGCCGACTGTCTTTGATTTTGTTCTTTGATGATTGTCTCACCTCGTCATCATGGAGGAGGCTGTCACATACAGTTGTAGCCCATATATAGAAACTAACATGGATTTACATTTTTTTTTCTTTTGACAGCCATCTGCTATGTCTGTCTCATGGTCTGACGGCCCTTTTGGTCCATCTCGCCTTGCATATAGAAATAGAATGATATACAAGCAAGAGCTAAACAATACGTTACTCTCAATGAAACCGCACCCAGAATAATGAAAACGCGATCACAACTTAGTCTAGATAGAACATTGGCCAGGACATACCGGCCAGTGCGCGCAATACGCTCTTAGTGCTAAGTTTTTCGGGCTTTGGATAAGAGAGCCGGCCAATGCACACATTGGCCGTCCAATGCGGGCTTTGGTCGCACTTCGGGCTTCGACCGTAACATATATGATGATATATATATATATATATATATATATATATATATATATATATATATATATATATATATATATATATATAATTTCCTTTCATATTAACCCTATTTTTGTATCCTAGTCCTCGACATTCTTCATTGTGTAGGCTAAGCAAAATTTCTCCAGTAGTGTTAACCGTATCTCTTTTGCTCATTTGCTTGTTGTATTGTATAGTATTGAAGTCCTAAGACAAGACTAGCATAAGTAGCATTCCTTGCAGTCTACTACAGGCCTGCTCACTAAAAATGTCTACATCGTTCCAAATACATTAGGGTATCTCACTAGGGTGTTTTCCCAAATTTACATCCCAGGTCATGTCTGGCCTAGGGCATCCACCCCCTTTGTCACCCAAAAACCCAGCTCTGCTTGGTTCACTGGGTCTTATCCAGCAATGTAACACTCGAACGTGGACACCTTTTTCTTGGAGTTTGGTATCCAATAGTCATAGATATTAGATGCACAATTATCCTATACCCACACCCTACATATACTCATGATTTTTATATTAACCACTGGTCATTTAACCAATGAAACCACTTTATTGACGCAAAGCAACTCAGAATGATTTCCAAAGTCCTAATTTCTTGGCATGTTATCAAATTTTCTATAGTGATTTGTAATCAATTGCAGAACTGTCAAAAGTGAACTAATACCTTACTAAAGAGCTAATAATATTGAGTAATCTGTAAGAGAGGGGAACATTAGATTCCCTTCTATGCAGTGGCGTAGGTAGGGGGGTGCAAATCAAAAGTTTGAGGGGGGGGGGGGGGGGGGTGCGCTAATCGAAAGTTTGACCCCGGGTAAAAATTTGAAGCCCCCCCCCCCCCAATGAGACGATCCTGGCTCCGCTAATGCTTCTATGTATGCATTGTAACATACATATACATGCACATATGTTTAAATATACGTTTCATAAGTATACATATGCATATAGCCTGTATATATATAATCTATTGGGTTATTGGAGGTGGGGTCTTTCTTCCTGGAGTTGGCCCCGGTCATCGAAACACCCCTGCACGCCGCTGGTTGTAAGAAGCGAAAATATAAAATGAAAGTTTTATACAAATAACTAGCCGGCCAGGCCCTGCTCTGGCTTCTGTGAAAAACCTTTCTGTTAAAGACCATTACCTGTGTGTTTAGTAATCATCATAAACCCGGCATTGCACACCCAAACCACAACAAACCAAAAGCAACAAAACGCAAACATAACGTTAACACAATTACAAATACAAACGAAAACAAAAACCCAACAACAAACCCAACCACAAACACCAATACAAACACAAAGAAAAAACAAACAAAAAAGCAAACGAAAACAAAAACCTAACAATAAACCCAACCACAAACACCAATACGAACACAAAAAAAAAAAAACAAACCAAATCCAAACGCAAAACCAACCACAAACACAAATACAAACACAAACCCAAAGAAAAAAACACAAACGAAAAAAAGAAAGAACAAAACACGAACCAAATCAAAACGCAAACCCAACCTAAACACAAAGAAAACACTAACGCGAACATAAACGCAAAGTGCTCACAGTCTAGCCCGGGGCGGAATCGCATGTTTCAGCTTAATAAACGACTATAATACCCCAACTTACATAGTCTTTTGAACTCACTTAAATGAACGTAGGCGCCAAACCGAACACGGGAGGCCCGGGGCCCCAAATAGCACCCTGTCAGGGCGCCAGAGGACGATTCACTTAAAGACTATAGTAACCTTTCTTATCCATACTCTATCGCACTGTTTAAAGCGAAATTATGCACCATAGCGCTCACAGGATAGCCCCAGGGCGCCAAATTGAACCCTGGTGGGGCGCCGGCGGACGCCCCTGTTTCAATTTAATGAACAATTATAATACTCCAAGCTTATCCGTAAAATACCTACAACATTTGCACTTGATCAATCCCCGCTAATTATGTAATTATTTTTTCCCCAACACCAAAACAAAGTAATAAAAAGTAAATTCTTTTCCACTAATGCAATGTTTTATAAAGGGAAGTAATTATGTTTTCCTAATTTATCAAAGGGAAGTAAGTGCTAAAGGACTAAATATAAATAATTTTCAGACATAATTAGAATTTTTGTATAAGATGATATTTTTTTGAAATTGTGTTTAATGAACATGCCGACAATTATTACTATCAGTTTGAAAAAATGAAAATTATTTCCCAACACTTTCAGTATTAATTTTTTTAACTCATAAATTTAGACCGTGAGCACTATAATAATCTAGCACTTAAATCCATCGAAGTATCCACGACAAACTTATGTTTACATACAGAATTGAGCTTTATATATTAGATTTGACTGTTTCTGTAATTTACTTAATTTTCAAATTAGACCGAAGGGCATAATCATAACGGTATATAAACACCCAAATTATGCTTATAATCTTATATTTGGATCTTTGGCCGGACAGTGTAAAAAAAATAGTAGGTGATATTCGAGCTCTTGTTGTAACTCACAAACGCACACTTTATTCTACTCTTGATTTACTTTTATCACTTTCAACTGCAGTCCATTTAATAAAACAGCAACATGTAGAAGTTTCCTTATCTCAAAAACCTTGCATGTCATGGCATATGTCGTATGTCGAGGTACCACTGTATGTGGATATGTAGAAATATTTGCCTGAAAAAAATGTGTAGGCCTATAGAGGCAATGTTGTAGACAGGTCTTGGGGATGTTAAAAAATGTCCATATAACTCCTTTTTTCCCCTACCACTGCCCCCACCCCCTACCTGTAGCTATGCCCCTGGGTCTAAGTATTTTGAACTGTACGATATTTAATGCAAGTTTGTATTTTTGGTCTTTAACATTTTAGCTAAATTCTTTAATAGAATTGTTTAAGTTTAAAAACAAACTCTCATTCTAGGTGGTGTGAAAAAGATTTAGCTGCACTTTGCAGTAAAGATGACAATAAGCACTTTACCAACACCGCTGAGATGGAAAATGTTAGCCTTGTGTTTGATGGATGTTACCATCAAAGTAACTTGTGAATGCTACATTAAAGAATTTTGCTTAATTAAAACATTAAAGAGTCTGATTCAACCCTACTCCTAACCTTTTCTTTTTTCTAATCAAAATGCTGCTTTAGTTTAATCAAAGAACCATTAGAATAGTAGTGACTAAATACCATAAATGGCCACGCATCAGGGTCCACTAACACTATTTTCCCCATGCCAATTTATAGTTATTAAAAAGTAGTTTATAATGTTTTCTCGTCTTTTTAGTGCATTGTTACATAAAAGCTTGTTATTAAAACGTTTTTTATGAAAAAAATTTCAGTACTTAAAATTTAATTTTTTTTTCAATAGAGTTGCATGACTAAAAACCATTGCGCACCTAATGAACGTGATGACACGTGTATAATAGTGCAGAGTAGTTGGATGAGACAGCCTACTAATTTGGACAAAATTTAAATTAATTGATACAAAAATTAATTAGGCATCTAATGAAGTCAAATTTAATGTCATGTTGCATTGTCTTCCTGTTTTGACCCACGTGGCAACTTTGAACCGTTTCTGTCAGTTAGAAGTGCCCGAATTTTCGCTCGGCTGTTTCGATCTAGACAGACACACTGACGACATACTGACGAAGAAGTGAGTTAAATAAAAGCTTGTAACAACTCCGTAGTCTTGCTTTAGACTAAATTTTTATTTTATATCATAAGCGTTGAGAATATTAAAATTAAAATGTAATACTTAGGCTATAAACATGTATTTCTATTTCACCATGATGATAATATTTTGTGTTATATTTTTAGTCATAATTATAATACTGTATGATCTATCTGTTACCATATTTGAATTTTGAATAAACCCTGAAAAAACTTGGTAGCCTTGTTTTTTTTTCGTCATTCGTTTTACCCTAAATTTTCTCGAATATTCTTATATAACGCTACGGGGGATTGCAACTCGGGATAAAGACGTTATTGTTAATCCATTTTTAATTACTTAAACTTCTTAAAATAGAATAGAATCGCGTAGAAAAAAAGAAATGCGCACCATGTGAACGCTAAACAAAATGTCTATAATAGTTCGGAATATTATTAGTACTTTATAAATTAACGTGCGTTTTGTTTTTGAGAAATCAGAAATAGCGTAAATTACTGCTTCCGGTCAACGAAAATTACTCAAAAATTTGACAGAAGGCAAAAAAATAGATCTTTTACTTATATTAGTTATTAAATTCAAGGGAAAAAAATCATTACTTTTGTCGTAAGTTATTAAATTTGGTGTCACCCCCATCGCAATTGTCGATTGAAATATCAGTTATTACAATTCTCAACCAAACCTTTTTGCTCAGGCAAATATTACAACGTTTAGATGGTGTCCCCCCCCCCCCCCGCATGATATGATAGCTTTAAATTGTGCCCAGATGATACTAACGATGTTTATCTATAGTAGATTATTAATACGGCTAGACGTGGCATTGTTTTCTCTATCGTTAGCAGGTTTACGTCATGGTTGACCCAAACCCACTCTTGTCGGGACTTGTCAACTTAGCTCTTAGAAGACTATTTAACTATTGTTTTCTTTATTTATTTTGCTATTTTTTGGGATTTAATTTTGCATGGGCGGCCCCCCGGAAAGATGCGATTTGGTGCCCTGGTCTTTCCCGTGAATACGTTCGGTATAAACAGTGTGATAGACAATGGATAGGATGGGTAGTTACAAACGCTTACTAAATTGAATCAGGCGTATCATCTGGCGCCTTGGTAGGGTGCGATTAGGCTTGAAATAAAAATGTCTGTTTCAGCTCCCAAAGGCTCACATGGGCCACTGAGGGCCATGTAATACGTTTTATTTTAATAATCAGAAAAATTAAAAAATTAGACTATTAACTGGGATGTTCTTTTTTGTCCGTAAAAAAATCCAAACAGTTTTCGTCACTTTGCAAATGATGCAATTAGTATCTATTTTTAGACGATCCAATCAGAAATTGAGATCGAGCATCTAAAAATAGACCATATTGCATCATTCACACTGATGTTTAAAACACGTCAAATACTTTTTTTACGTGTTAAATAACAAATCCTGTTCATTTGTGTCACTTTAGCGAACGACGCAATCTGCATCATTGTTAACAGGATGCTATTTGGCACGATGTTAGTTTTAAGGAGCCAGTGGTGGTACGCTGCGCCTAGAGGGCCCCTCTACGTCTCTGACACATGGGCGGTCACCAAAGTGTGTTCTAACATATTATTTCGGTGAGTGATTAATGTACACTCAAGGTTATCGTGCGGTAGTGTAGGTAAACCCATGTCCCGATATTTATGATCCAAGCGCAGGCATTGTTTACATTTAAATAACTCACTTTTAGAAAACAAGGTCACGAGTCTAAGAATATAGGATTGGTAACGCATGGATATAACCCTTGTTATATATTTCGTCGGACTTTCTTCTATTCCCGCGCAACGCGCGGGGACGGGTACGTTAGTTACATACTAAAGTAATTATTGATCTGTTTTGACATTTACAATTAAATGTGTAGACATATACATTTCTATATTAAGAGTGTGATTATTTCCCCCAGTTTGCTTGTCTTAATTAATATTCCAGGAATCATTGAGTCAATTTTTTTACAAGGATTACAAAACAGATTGTGTTGCGTTCATTGTTTTTGGATGTATTCTGTGGATAATTTTTTGTTTTTGTTTAGAGTGATAAACTTTTTGTTTTGTTGGCCTAGCGAAGCAATGACACACAGCTAGTGTATATATATATATATATATATATATATATATATATATATATATATATATATATATATATATATATATTGTTACGACCCGATCTACCTAGATCTTTCTATTTAGGATGGGAAGTAGACAAGAACACACGATCTAACGAACACCTTTTTAATAACAACGTAAGTTTAATTTCACAACAGAGATGCAATATATTGAAAAGTAACCGCCACCAAAAATACAACACAAAAATCCTACCACCTATTCTAAACTATACTATCTACAACTACACGTCCTAAATGGTGAGCTGCCGTACCCTGACTCTCAAGCCTAGCCTAGGTCTAATACATCTCGTGGCTTTCCACTAGCTCACAGAGACGACCCAGAGGCAGAGAATTATATCTGTTACTTACTTGTAAAATTTCATTTATCTATCAGAAACAATACTTAAGTTATAGGCTTTTGAAAAATTGAAAGTATAATAAGTTCCACTTCCGGTTACCGGAAATCGTTGAAAGTTGATGCAGAACTTCATATGCGATATAATACTTATCTATAAAATTTCATCAACTTAGCTGTAACGGTACTCAAGTTATCGTGTTCACATACATACACACATACATACATACACATACACACACATTCCCACAAATACGGACTAAATTGCAAAACTATACTTTTCCGACTCAGAGAGGTGTAAAACGTCGAAATTTGTGAAAATTTCGATTTCGATTTTTTGCACGATTACAATAGATCCTCTTTACTTTTTACGAGAAAGTAAAATCAACACATTAATTATATCACAAATAATGCATAACTAATGTACAAAAACTGAAGTTGGAATACGGACATAAGGCGAAATTGCATAAGCCAACTTGCACATTCAAATTTACAATAACGAGCCGATCCGCGGCATATCATACGCAGCTATTTAGTTGTTTTATTTTCTGCTTTTCAGTAATTCTTAATTTGTGAATTCGACAGTACCAATGCTGCCACTGAATATATTTGCTTTAAAACACTATCAGTAGCTCGTTAAGGACGATAACCCCCCCCCCCCCCCCCCCGTGAAAGCAGCCTCCTCTTAGTTACCTCCCCTAAGTTTAAAATCGTTTCAAACTAAATTATCTGCCCCTAATAGCCGTCACTAAACGATTGTAAACATTTAGCGTGAACCACAGCTCACCAGACCATGTAGGGGTGGGGAGGTAGGGAGCGAGCTTACAGCTTGTTTTCTAGCGTCTCCAAGAAGAGAATTATATATATATATAGATTTTTTTTACTAATGTTCGACCCCCCCCCCTCCCCCATGCACACACTTGCACACTCCTGAGCTGTTGTTTAATAGTATGCTTGTTAAGTTGAATTTAGCATTGTAAAGAAACTTAAGAGGATATGCTCATTTGTTTTTTTCTTTAATTTTTTTTTACAGTTTAAAAGATCTGTAGTTTTTAAACACAATTACAATGTTTGGCACACGAAAGTGAATATTAAACAGCAAAAAGGAATTTGAAAACAATTTCGGTTGTCATGGAAACCCGAAAGAAACACCAGCTATTTTCTACTTTTATTTTAGTATATATTACAACCTTTGTCACGACTACTCTTTGATAGAGCTACTTGTGAGAATTCCAGAAGGTCCAAAAAATTGCAATCTTTTCAGTATGTGAAAGTTTTAAAATTTGCACGTGAAAGACAGTTTCTAACACTCTTTCTTTTTTGTTTCTTGAATATTACAAGGAATGCTAGAAGGCTAATAATAAAATATAAAGTAAGGTTTTTGTTTTTTAACGCACCTTCCTTGTCGGAAAAAAATAAACAAGGTTTCATTTTTTACTTTCTCGTATGGGGGAAGTATTGTAATCGTTAAATAAATCGATATCGATATTTTCAAAAAATCTCTATGTTTTACACGGTGCCCTGTCAAAACGGCCCGGGACAAAACGGCCCCGTCAAATCGACCCCCGACAAAACGACCCAGTCAAAATAGCCCCGTCAAAAGGGCCCCGACTTATTGGCTCCCGTCAAATGGGCTCCCGTCATATTGACTTGCGACATATAGGCTCCCGACAAATGGGCTCCCGATATTTAGGCTCCCGACAAATGGACTCCCGACATATTAACCCCTGACAAATAGGCTCAGGACATATTGGCTCCCGACAAAGCGGCTCCCGACATATTGGCTCCCGACATAAGGGCTCAAGACAAATGGGCTCCCGGCAAATGGGCTCACGGCATATAGGCTACCGACAAATGGGCTCCCGACATATTGGCTCCCGGCAATTGGGCTCCCGACATATTGGCTTTTGACAAAATGACTCCCGACATATTGGCTCCAGACCAATGAACGGCATGACCACTATTGGCATAAAAGTAACCATTGTGTCCTCCAATACCACTATAACCTCTTTTAAATGCCCGAATGAAATTTTTTTTCATAAACCAACATTAATTCACAAACAAATCGAGCCCTTAACAGCTAAATACCACCAATTCTAAAGTTTTGATAATGTTTAATTTACAACAGAAAAGATCTGTTGCTTAAAAGCGAGCACAGAAATGTAAATGTATGATATACATGATGTTTATATGATAACAGCATTTTGTTTTGATACCTACAAGCATACTGCAGTTAGAAAGGTACAGCGTGGACCCTTCTCCTCACACACTGAGCTGGAACAGCCTATAACCGACTCAATTATAGATGTCATAGATAGATGACCCTTAAATTAAAACATACTATATTTTATAATAGATAAACTAATATAAAAATAAGGCCTGCCGAACAAGAGATGCATACGTTGTATTACATAAGAGTGTTGGATAAGTTAATTCTAAAGAAAACTGATGAAGGGGTCCCACTGGCAGGTGTCATATTCAATGAGACCGCTTTGCCGGGAGACTAAGTCTCTACAGAAACGGTATTGTCAGTGCAGTGGCGTAGCTAGGATTTTTGGGCCCCTATGCAAAAATTATCAGTGGGCCCCCTTCGTCAGCCGTTAGGCCAGTGGCGTCGCTAGGTAGGGTGTCACCCAGTGCGGCACTTCGTATTGTCACCCCCCTCCCAGGAAACAAAGCATATATATATATATATATATATATATATATATATATATATATATATATATATATACATATATAT